GAGGCTGAGGCAGGAGGATTGCTTGAGCCTGGGAGGTCAATGCTGTCAGTTTTTATAATGATTATGCCTGTGAATAGCCACTGTACTCCAGCCTGGGCAACACAGTGAGATGTTTTAAAAAAAAAAAGAAAAGAAAAGAAAAGAAAAAAGTCAGTTTACAATAGCATCAAAAAGAATAAAAGGAATAAACTTAACCAGGAAGCAAACGCTTTGGCAGGATTTAGAGTTTCAGAGACCGGCTGTGTAACAAATGTAAAGCCATCTCATATTTATAGGTTATAAGGCTTAGTTTTGTTAAGATGTCAATACAACTTAAAGTGGTCTACAAGTTTAGAATAATTGCTCTCAAAATCTCAGTGACTTTTTTCTTCAATTATAGAAAAATCCATCCTTATAAATTGCATAAAGTTTATATGCAATTTCAAGGGATCCCAAATGGCCAAAGAAAAAGAATAACAAAGTTGGAAATCTTTTACTTCCCAATTTCAAAATGTATTATCAAAAGCGACAGTGGTCAAAAGTGTGGTATGGCAGTAAAGACACACATAGAGACCAGTGGAATGGAATACAGGGTACAGAAGGAAACCCTTACACCTACAGTCAAATGAGTTCAATAAGGATGCCAAGACTATTCAATCAGGGAAAGGACAGTCTTTCAACAAATGGTATGGGAAAACTAGATATCCACAGGTCAAAGAATGAAGTGAAACTCTTACTTCATATCATGTTTAAAAAGAAAAGGAAACCTCAATAATGAATCAAAGACCTAACTGTAAGATCTAAAACTATACAACTCTTGTTTTTCTGAGATGGAGTCTTGCTCTGTCTCCCAGGCTGGAGTGCAGTGATGTGATGTTGGCTCACTGCAACCTCCGGCTCCCAGGTTCAAGCAATTCTCTGCCTCAGCCTGCCAAATAGCTGGGATTACAAGTGTCCACCACCACACCCAGCTAATTTTTGTATTTTTCATAAAGATGGGGTTTTACCATCTTGGCCAGGCTGGTTTTGAACTCCTAATCTCCTGATTCACCTGCTTCAGCCTCCCAAAGTGCTGGGATTACAGGCATGAGCCACCATGCCCAGCCGACAACTCTTAAAACACAGAAGGAGAGCTTTCTTTGGCAACGATTTCTTGGCTATGATACCAAAGGCACAAACAACAAAAGGAAAAGTAGACAAATTGGATTGCATCAAAGGATACTATTAACAGAGTGAAAAGGCAACTACAGAATGACAGAACAGATGTGCAAATTACATGTGAAAGATTTCCCATCTAGAATATATAAAGTACTATCACAATGCAACATCAAAAACCCAACTAGCACAGTTCAAAAATGTGCAAAGGATGTGAATAGACAGTCCTCCATATAAGAGATGCAAATGGCCAATAAGCACATAAAAAGATGCCCACCATCACTAATTATTAGAAATACATTAAGGAAACTCAAACCAAAACCATGTGAAGAGGCTGGGCATGGTGGCTCATGCCTGTAATCCCAGCACTCTGAAAGGCTGAGGTGGGTGGATCACTTGAGGTCAGGAGTTCGAGACCAGCCTGGCTAACATGGTAACACCACATCTCTACTAAAAATAGAAAAATAAGCCGGGTGTGGTAGCACATGCCTGTAGTCCCAGATGATAGAGAGGCTGAGGCAGGAGAATTGCTTGAACCCCGGAGGCAGAGGTTGCAGTGAGCCATGATTGCACCACTGCACTCTAGTCTGGATGACAGAGCGAGACTCCATCTCAAAGAAAAAGAAAAAGAAAACCTACATGGAGAGGCCACCTCAGAGTCATTAGGATGGCTGTAATCAATACAGAAAATAACAAGTGTTAGTGAGGATGCTGGGCAGTTGGAACACTTGTGTACTCTTACTGGGAGTTTACAATGGAGCTGCAGCTATGGAAAACAGTATGGCAATTCATCGAAAAGTTAAAAAGAGACTAGGCACTATGGCTCACACTTGTAATCCCAGCATTTTGCAAGACCAGGGCGGGCCAATCACTTGAGGCCAGGAGTTTGAGCCCAGCCTGGCCAACATAGTGAACCCCATCTCTACTAAAACTACAAAAATTAGCCAGGCGTGATGGTGCAGGTCTGTACTCCCAGCTACTCGGGAGGCTGAGAGATAAGAATCACTTGAACTCAGGGGGCAGAGGTTGCAGTGAGCCAAGATTGCACCACTGCATTCCAGCCTGGGAGACAGAGTAAGACTCTGTCTCAAAACAAAGAATTATCATATAATCCAGCATTTCCACTTCTGGGTATGTACCCCCTAAAATTGAAAGGGCCACACAGATTTATACACTGATGTTCATAGCAGCATTGTTGAGAGCAAATTCTGACATGTGTGAGAAATCCTATTGTTTGCTGAGAAATCCTACTGAGAGTGGTGGCAAGGAAAAACTAGTCAGCCCCCACAACAGAAAACTGCTCAAAGCATTATAAAACAGTAACCAATATAAGTATGTCTCACGCCAGATGAATTAGTTCTTTGAACACAGGCTATGTGACCCTTTCCTTTGTTCTCTCATAAAGAGCATGTTAAAGACAAACTTTCTAGTTTGTCTTTAACCTATAGTAAACATACACTTGCTGCCTGGTTAGTTTGCCTTTAACGAGTGAAATAACAGAGCATCTGCTTGTAAAACTTGTCACTGGAAAGTCAAGAATAAATATGTAGGTCAGAGTCTGCTCTGGACTCTAAGCTGGAAATGCTGTGAGAGCTCTGCTGCTCCACTCTGAACCCACATTTTGCTTTCTATTTCTGTGTCTCTTTTTTTTTTTTTTCTTTTAAAGACAGTCTTGCTCTGTCACCAGGCTGGAGTGCAGTGGCGCAATCCTGGCTCACTGCGACCTCTGACTCCCTGGTTCAAGCGATTCTCCTGCCTCAGCCTCCTGAGAAGCTGGGATTACAGGCATGCACCACCACAGCCAGCTAATTTTTGTACTTTTAGTAGAGATGGGGTTTCACCACATTGTCCTGGATGGTCTCAATCTCCTGACCTCATGATCCTCCCATGCCTTGGCCTCCCAAAGTGCTGGCGTGAGCCACCACGTCTGGCCTACATGTCTGTTTCTTAATTCCTTCAGCGCCACCTGGGTTGGGGTCTCCATGGCTGAGCTGGTCTCGGCACAGCATTATTCACAGCAGCCAAAAAACAGCAGCAACCTGAGTGTCCACTGACAGATAAACAAATGTGGTCTTTCCATACAGTCAAACATTATTCAGCCTTAAAAAGGAAGGAAATTCTGACACATGCTAACACATGGATGAACCTTGAGGATGTTATGCAAAGTGAAGTAAGCCAGTCAGAAAAAGAGAAATACTGTATGATTCATTATGTGTAGGACCTAGAGTAATCAGATTCATAGAGACAGAAAGTAGAATGGTGGCTGCCAGGAGCTAGGAGAGAACAGTAATGGCTTATTTAATGGGGAAAGAGTTTCAGTTTGGCAGGATTTAGTGAGTTTCAGAGTTTGGCTGCATAAAAATATGAATGTACTTCCACTGAATTGTGTACTTTAAAAGGGTTATGGTAAATTTTATATGTGATTTACCACATTTAACATTTTTTACATTGGAAATGTATAGTTACTGAGCACCTCCATGCTAGGCATGATGATATGATTATGAACACCATAGTTATAAAAAACACTCTTAGGGAGATAAAATTCTAAGTGTAAAAACTAGCATAGATAGACAATAATAGACACAGACCCACAGAACTCAGACAGTGGGCTTATTAGACACAGATTATTAGATTTCAGCAGGGAACTAGAAATTATTAAAATTAATAATCACTAAATTTGTAGTTTAGTAATTTAGCCAATCAGCTAATTTACTAATTATTGAAAATTACATACTGAAAAATAACCAGAACGTAGTAGAAAGAAATGGCAGAAAAGGCCACCTAGGCCCATCTTTTAGACAGCTTTCTTAGCAGATGAGGGATAGAAGGGTACTTCCTGGACAGGTGTGGTGGCTCATGCCTGTAATCCCAGCTACTCAGGAGGCTGAGGCAGGGGAATCACTTGAACCCAAGAGGCAGAGGTTGCAGTGAGCCGATATCACATCACTGCGCTCCAGCCTGGGCAACAGAGCAAGACTCCATATCAAAAAAATAAACAGCAGGGTGTGGTGGCTCATGCCTGTAATCCTAGCACTTCGGGAGGCCGAAGTGGGAGCTCACTTGAGGTCAAGAATTGGAGACCAGCCTGGCCACACCTCGTCTCTACTAAAAATTAAAAATTAGCTGGGTGCGGTGGCAGGCATCTGTAATCTCAGCTACTCAGGAGGCTGAGGCAGGAGAATTTCTCAATCCTGGGAGGCAGAGGTTGCAATGAGCCACTGCACTCCAGCCTAGGTGACAGAGGGAGGCTATCTCAAAAAAATTAAGTAAAGCCCACTTTTAAACAGTTCTCTTAGCAGATGAGGGATAGAAGGGCGCTTCCTTCCCCTGGTAGCTCTGAGTGTACAGTCTGTGCCCTTGACCACCACACTTGATGGGGAAACAGTAGAGCAGCCTGCACTGCAAGCTGTACTGAAGATCCCACCCACACAGTGAGAGTTCCCTTTAGCCTGCACTTTGGGTTGGATGAATCCTGAGCTCTCAAAGCACTGTGTGCTACAGTTCCACCCTCTCCTTGGCTGGGAACTGTCTTGGTCTTCTCTGTCTCCAGGGTGCTGGTGGCAGAGCCTGACATGGAGTGAGTACTCCATAGACGCTTGTTCAATTTCCTAGGAACTCAGCAAGCTGGGCCTAACACCACTGCCTGCAAAGGCCTGGCAGGTATAAGGACTCAACGACCCATGCCTGCTGCTCTTACAGAAAGGGGAGAGGGAGATGGGTGGGAGTGGATGAAGAGTTGTCCTTTTAACAATGAGGGCCAGGAGATGTAATAGGGGTCCCAGCATAATCTATTTCAGCAAACAGCAGGGGCCCCTCTCCTCTGGGGCCCATAGCCTGGCCTTACTTCTCTTCTCTCGTCTTTACAGTTTGAGATTTCGTCTAAACCAGCACTAGCCTGCCAAAGACTTCAAACTCCTTCACCTTCTACTCTACTTCCAGCTCCTTGACAAGGGCAAGATTCTTGGCTGGGACAGAATAACTAGCATGGAATGCTGGGAAACTCAGAATCTCACATGCTGCAAATGCAGGGAAGAAGAGCTGCTTACCATTGTACTCAAAATACTTCGGAGAACATAAAACTCTCCCACTGGTCTGGGTAATTTTCCCCCTTCTTCCACATCTCCACTGTAAACCAGGAGACAGTGCGGCCAGTGAGTCCCAGCCCTGCAGAGAGTGCTCTACCTGGCTCCTGTTCATGCCCCAGGTATTTATTCACTTATTCAACAGCCATGTGGGAAGCCACCACTTCAAAACGCTGACTACACAGAGGGGGACAAAAAGCCGGGTTCTCAGCTGCCTGGTCCTGGCTTTCCCTGCCTGATCCAGGGGTCTCCTCAGGCAGGAGGTTCTTTGAGGGGAACTGATAGCCCTTCAGAAGCCCAGGTAGAGAGCTGCTCTCTTTGGGGGTAGATACTGGGACTGAATGCTTTGGAGGGCCTCTGTTTTGGTAGGGGCACCTGTGAACACAAGCCTCCAGGCTATAGCATTCAGAGTTTTTTACTTTCTTTTGGAACATAACCTTTTCCTTTGAGTTTTCAACTGAAAAATAAAGCTGGCAGAACCCAAGAATGTGTCTCTGGATTGCTGGGGCTGATCATCCACTCAAAAGATGGGGAGACGTGGGCAGCTACAGAATCTTCTCACAGATAGGGGTTGCCCTCAAGCCCTCTTTGGGCTGAGCCTTTGGTAGGAGATTGTAGTGTCCAGATTCTAGAGCAAAGGGCCAGGTGTCAGCCATGGGGACTGAAGCAAGCTGAGGGCCAGATGCCACACTCAGCTGTCCCTGGCCTCCCCACCCATGAATCCCTGGTGCACAGCAGGTACTAGATGAATTTTAAAAGAAAGAACTCCAGGGTAAATGGGAACGAGAAGGTTGGTCCTCCATATTCCCACACTGGAAGGAAGAGAAGGGAGGGCAGCTGGGATCTGAGTGTTTGCTATGGTTACAGCCTAAAGACCCTGGAGCCCAGGCACTGCTCCAAGTGCCTTGAAAGATGTTTGATCTTAAGCTTTACAATAGTCCAATGAGGAATGGATGATCTCCTTAATGAGAGAAGAAACAAAGGCTCAGAGGGCTGAGGGGATTCCCCCAAGGTCATATAACCTACAAATGGCCAGGACGGTGCTGATGCGGGCCTGTCTGCCTCCCAAGGCTGCCCAAGCTCAATCACCCCCCAACACTTCTGCTTTTGCAATAATAGTCTTATGCCACATATTCTACCAGTTACTTTACGAAAGAAAGTCAAGTAAACTTTAGCCATATCCCAAGCCATAATAGGTAGCTCTTGTTCAAAATACCCTGTAAATCAGGTGATTCAGGGTCAGAAATGCACCCACAACTGTTACAGGTGCTGTGCTAGGCTTGTTTTGGGGAACTCAGCCTAGGAATATGAGTGAAGAGACAACTCACAAAGCAAAGCAAATCACTGGCATGCAGGGTACCTGAGCAATTCAGAGTCAGATGCAACTAGAGTGTGCAGCCATCTGACCTGCTGGTTTCCCAATATGCTTAATGGATCCATGATGTCAGGGCCACAGAGGAAATGCATAAGCCTTCCCTTCCTGCCTCCCACACTCTGTGGGTCAAATATTTACCAAAAACACAGTAGTGGACTGAACACCAGTGAGACACAAAGAGGGAAAAACAGTTCTCCCTTCTCAAGGCAGGTTGGCCAACATCAATATTTTGCAGTTGGAGGGTGCGGGTGGAGTGTGTGTGCATGCCCAGAATTTAAAGACAAACAGATGAGAGATGAAATGATTCCAGCAGAAAGACCAATAAATATTCACGTCTACAATGTACACTGAACTGCAGCCTAGGCAACATACCAAGGCTCTGTCTCTACAAAAAATTTAAAAATTAGCCGGGTGAGGTGGCTGTAAGGTCGGCTGCCTCGCAGAGGGTTAAACAGACACATCCATCTCTCTCTGCATCTGATAACTATGTCATCACCCAAGCTCGTTATTTGGCCTTGCTGCATGGCTTCCCCACACCCACCTCCGCATACCAGACCTAAGCCCACATTCAGCACTAAATTATGCATTCAACCTCCAGCCCACTGTTGATAAACCCTGCAGGAAAAATTTTTAAAGAAGCCCCATCAGGCCCTGCCCGGTAGCAGTCTGCTCTGTATGCCCCCAGAAGGCCCACTTACCCAAGGTCCCACCCAACTACCCATGACCACTAGCTCCAGGTATTTTCTGCTTCTTAATAGCCAATAAGATTGCTGTCACTTTGTTTCCCCAACAGCCAATCAAGGCCCACTTACCCAAAGTCCCGCCCACCTACCAATGGCAACTAGTTCCAGGTATTTCCTGCTTCCTGACAGCCAATAAAATTGCCTTTGCTTTGTTTCCCCAATAGCCAATCAATCGCCTTTCCTCCCCATAAAACCCCATGACCTAAACATCCGGGGGTGACTTCTTTGGCCCTGCCCTGGACCACAGAACCTCGCCCAGGAGCTGAATAAATTAGCTTCTCATTTTCTTATACTTGCCTCAGTTTCTTCATTTTACCTTGGCAATAAATCTTACATTTGGTGCCGAAACCCGGGAGGAGTTGTGAGACACCCCCCCCAAGGGGGGAAACTGACTCCTCAACCAGAGGCTGGACCAGGAGCCTCTCCGCCATGAGGTAAGACTTCTGTTGCCTATAACTTTTCCCGCTGCCTGCTCTGTGGACTCCCTGCTCATAATCACGACCGCGTCGGGGACTCCTTCTCGTCTCTCGCCGTGGGCCCAGGGCCCCGGCCTTGTTCTGAGGACTTGAGTGTAGCGGAGACGTCCCTACACTCTTGCCTTCTCACCTTAAGGGGTCTCTCAGGGCCAGGAATCTGAAGGAGACGTCCCCACCTTCCTGAACCCTCTCATAGTCTCCGGTGTTCGGGGGGATGGCCCGGGATGCTGAGCCGCCCTTCCAATCATCTCTGCAGCAGTGGCTAAGGTTTGGGTAATCAGAGAAGCCCTGTTCACAAGCCTGGGCTCTGCCCAGGACTAAAACCAGACCTCTGGCTCTCAATCTCAAACTCGCCCTTTGGCAGGCCAGCTTCCGCCTAGGTGCATTTGGTTTCTCTCTCTCTCTCTCTCTCTCTCTTTCTCTCTCTCTATTCCCAAGAGAGTGTGTGGGTGAGTGAGTTTATGTCTAGTCCCACGGCTTAATGGCTATGGGGCTTGTGTGGGCCTCCACCCACGGTTCCACGGGGACGTCATAAGGCATAACGGTGATTCACCTCAGGGCTAACAGTTCTGAGGTGACCAGGCCTGGGGGTTATACAGGTACAGCTTAGCCAAGACACCCCTGAAACATCCGTTCAGGGACGTGGCCGGGAAGGCATCAGACTGGTCTCCCACCTGGGGGGGCACCTACCCTTTGTCTGTCAATCCTATATGTGGTCTTGTCTCTACTGTAAATTTGCCAGCTTTGTTAGGCTCTTACTAGCCAATATACAGTGGTTCAGGCCTGCTTCCCTTGAGGTAACAGATATTCTACAGTGGGTAACAGACCACTGGCTTCAGGGAACCTTCATTAAGTTCCTGCCTCTAAAAATAACTCTGTTCTCCTTTTTCCTTCTACTCTTCTTCTACCACTGAAACCCCACTTCCCAGTTCCGCTCCTTTCACTTTCTCTAATTCTGCCATGTGGCAAATTGCTCTAGCCCTGTCCCTTTTTATTTTCTTCCTCATTGTTGTCATTGCAGCCTGTAGGTTCTCTCAGCCACCCCCTCCAGGAAAAGAGCTTTTCTGCCCATGTTGGGTATAATTTCTTTCCGTGTCCACTTCTCACCTTTAGGCCACTGAAAAAGATAACATATGGGTAGTCAGAAATCCCGCCCAGACCCCAAGTCACCACTAGGATACCTGGTCCAAAATCTACCCAAACTGGGTCTTTCTATAAAAAAGTTACTCTTCCTCTCCTCTGTAGCCTGGCCACAGTATCCCCTAGACAACCAGTCCAAGTGGCCTCCTAGGGACACCCTCGACTTTAACATTTTAACAGATTTAGACAACTTTTGCCAGAAGAACGGAAAGTGGACGGAGGTTCCCTATATTCAAGCTTTCTGGCATCTCTGCTCCCACCCCAGCCTCTGCTCATCCTGCAGTACTGCCCAAGTACTCCTGGCCAAAAACATCCCCACACTGCCCTCAACCCCTTCGCTGACCTCCTCCTCTTCTTTTTCTGACCCCAATCTGCCTGAAGAACTCTCCCTACCACCCACTCAATCCACTAATCCCCTGCCATACGCAGACCCCCAACCCCCTCCTGCTCCTCCTCTTCCAAGTTCTGACATGGACTCTCCTGTTAGTGCTCACACTCGCTGGCGCAGCACTCCCAGTAACAAAAACTCCCCCCTTTGTCCTCTCCGCGAGGTAGCCGGAGCAGAGGGTGTGGTCCAAGTGCACATTCCTTTCTCCCTTACTGATCTGTCCACCATTGAAAAATGCTTAGGGTCATTCTCCGCCAATCCTACTGCTTACATCAAGGAATTTCATTATCTCACTCAGGCATATGACCTTACCTGGCATGACACTTATGTAATCCTATCCTCTACCCTTACTCTTGATGAGCGTAACCGCATCCTTGTGGCAGCCAAGGCACACGCTGATCAGGTACATCTCACTGATCCTCAGATGCCAGTGGGTGCGGTGGTGGTCCCTGAGGCTGATCCTAACTGGGACTATCAAACTGGCCAAAATGGCAGTCGCCACCGAGACTAGATGCTGCAGTGCCTCCTAGCAGACATGGAAAACGCAGCCCAGAAGGTAGTTAATTATGATAAACTGCAGGAAATAACTCAGGGTCCTACTAAAAATCCAGCTGCCTTCCTAGACCAACTAACTAACGCTATGGCCCTTCATACCCGAGTAGATCCAGACTCTTTAGCTGGGGCTACCCTCCTAGCAGCCCATTTTATCTCCCAGTCAGCACCAGATATTAGGAAAAAACTAAAGAAGGCAGAGGAGGGCCCCCAAACTCCCATACGAGACCTGGTAAAC